AGGCAAATCCATCATGTTTTCAATATGCATGTGAACGAGCGTGCGCTAATGACGCCATAAATTATGCGCAGTAAGGATGCGCGATGCAAATGTGAGGAATGACCTTAAACTCCCGCGAAAATTTCATGCCACACGGTTTCAGCAGATGCGGGAATTGTGAACGAGTTTGTTTCTCATGCAATGTGAGTGCGTTTGCATCCCGATTTCAACAATCGCGCATTCGGTAATTGCCTAAATTTTATGGGCAAGAAGGTCACCCCCCGCCCCCCCCTCCCCAGTCCGAAAGTGCCCGTACGCTTATGTTTGTTTCCATATATGCTTCCTTCTTGGAAGCATTGAGAGATATGTTAATAAGTGGCTCGGTATTGTAAAATCGCTCCGCCGTTGCTTACCTCCCTTCTCGTGTATAGGAGGCTCATACTCTCCTCCATAATTTCCTCCATTTTGCCTGTCACTCTAAAACAGACCAACAAAACAGTAAGCTTGAGTTAACCTTGTATTAAACAAAAAATTAAAATTCTCCATAAAATTATGGCTACATAGCCATCATTTCACGTTCGGGAATTTTATGAAAACTACAAAACAAACAAGACAAGACATAATATTTTAGACAATGTGAAAAAACTAACCTCCCCTTCATATTGTTCCTCTGACTCGTGCATCGCAAATAAGCTTAAATTTGTACGGAAAAGGACAAAAAATAAGTACTCCTTGCTTCGTGGCTCCTCGTGTCTTTACAACGTGAATCAGTAACCTGGCCAAAAATATTTTGCGTGTCATGTAAAGAGCACGAAATGTAACGTATCAAAATACATGTAAGAGCTGGCTGGCTACATTCGCAGAGAGGTGGAGATTTCCCTGACAGTGAAGAGTAACGCTCGGCGTAGGTTGAGAACGAACAAGGCTGGACGTCATGCAGAGACGGGTCGACCGAGTTTGTGTCCAACCGAGTGATTTTGGCGCTGATTTAACGCTCCTAACCCCACCCGGTTCTTCAAATCCACCACCCTTCCGCCTGGATTTGTTCTCGGTAGTCCCAAGTTCAACTCCTCAAGTGCGTTAACGGTAAACAGCCAACTGGTCAGCCTCCCACCAGTTGGGATACTAAACTGTTTATGTTCTATTAGCAATACTGTTTATTTTTTTATTCAATTATTTATTTATTTATTTATTTATCTATTTATTTGTTTGTTTATTTATTTACATTGTCCCCAATTAGCACAACAGTACTAAATACATTTGACACTTGAATAAAGTTATTAACTATTATTTCGTTGAACAAATATTGTTGCTGAATGAAAATTATTTTGGTAGAAGCTGAATAATTATTTTTGTTGAATGAATTGCGAAAATCATTTGGGTTGAAGTTGAACAAATATTTTTGTTGAATGAAAAGAATTTTGGTTGAAGTTGAAAGAAAATGTGTATTGTTGAATATATATATAAAATGTTGAATATAAATATATGTAGTTGAACATGAGTATAAGTTGTTGAATATGAAGGTGCAAGTTGTTGAATTTTGCAACATTTGGCTAACCATAGGCATGATGTTATGACGTCATATGCGACACCCAAGACGATCATACGATATATTTGCTATCAGCGCGAGCGGAATTCGCATAACATCTCCTCTAATCGCCTGTGATTTTCGATCGAAGCATCAAACTCGCAAGGTGATTTCGTTGTGGACACAGCAATGAAGTTCAAACTTCCACTGCTCGGATTATGCGTAATTTTTTTCCTTCTGTCGCTTGTTGTCGGTAGATCTGCCGGCGGGGTTGCTAATTCTTGCAAGAAAGGAAAATTTTTCGACCGGTCGAGGCAACAGTATCTTCCTTGTCATGAATGCAAATCCGAAATACAGGAATGCCTTACATGTTGTCAAATCGGAGGCCGAAACTCAAGGTGAAGTGTTCAGTATAAAACGTTACGTCTTGTTTGCTATCATGATTTATTTTTGCCGTTTCGTTGGCTTAACTGCTTAGCGTATTTAATTAGCACAGAAATTTAGCTAATTCCTCTCGAAGGACAGGCAACAGTTTAACAACATTTATTTTTTAGGTTGTGTTAGGAAGTGGGATGTCATATCACGACTCTTTTTTTCTTATAGAAAAATTAGTCTGTAAGGGTATTATCTCACCTAAATAGTTAGAATGTATTTTACTTCCTCTCCAAAAATGAACAAGGAACTAGACATAAATTTTGACAAATTTCTCTGTGGTTGATTGTCATTTGTGGTTCTCGACTAGGATTGGGATACCAGGCATCGCTTTCTCGAAATCAGTGCTTATTTTTGATTTCGTGTTTTGATGCATAATCTGAAAGTCACAACTCTACCAGTTTGCATAAACTTTAATTTTCTGTCAGTCCCTGTTCAATTATTGGTTGTTCCAATCTGGAGCGCTCTTGCACTAGCACTCAATTGACAAAGCCGCTCCGATATTTACAGCATAATCCGAAAAATTATTTGCTGTTTATTAAAATCGCAATCACAGAGAAAATGTTCCAGTGGTATTCATAGAACCAAACAATAACATGCAACAGGTAGATGGGCCAGTATGTAAACAAAATCTTGCTTTGCGCGCGTCGCGAAAAAGAAAAATATTTTTCATCACAAAGGAATGGCATTCTTTACACCTAGTAAGTAATAAAATAGATCTGCATTTCAAGTTTCCCGAAAAATGCTTTGGCGATTACTCTATGTGATCTATTTTCGTGATGCGTTTGCTGATCTAAGTAAATGTCACACGCAAGGTAATTCCAAAGCAATCCGAAATATTTCTCGGTCACACCAAACTAAAGAGGTCTCCAGGCGAGCACGTATTAAGGATCTCACATATTTTCTTAAGCTGAGAGTTAATTGATAATAAAGTTACGAAAAGGAGGGCACTGCGATTACTAATCAGGCCAACAGACCTTTCTAGCTTGGACGGTTTGTTTTCTTTTCCCATTACTAAAAACAGACTTATTACAGACAACGTGGTATTCTCCGGAGAATTGTTCTTTTATCCGTCTAAAAATTATTCACGCAACTATTTGAAAATTTGAATGCAAGTATTCACAAGCTTATCATCACATAGTCTGAAATGGAGCAATAAACCGCCCAAGCTAAACTGGTCGACTGTCGCGTGCGTCACGTAAGGTCATGCAAGGAAACATCCGTTTCCCTTTTTGCGTGATTATTCGATAGTTTAAAATGCCCTCAAATGCTATGGCCTTTATGGGCGGTGGAGTTCCAGAGAATTTAAGGGCGCTGACAACTAGAGACATCATTCGCAGGCAAAAGTAAAGATTGTGTTGTGACGTCACAGGGAATCATACTTGCATCCAGTGTCCTATTTCTTGCTCCGGTGGGGAAGGGAACGGTACCTGGAAACGAGATGCGGACTGATCGCTAAGCCTGACCAGCTTAAGGGGGTATGGTACCCTAAAATATGGCGATGTTCATGAAAAATTCAATTTCTTGGAAATACAAGACTGAAGACTCTTGAGGACTTGTCAAAAACATTTTGAAACGATCTTGCCGAATTTCCTTCCAGATGAGTGTGAAATTTAAGGAAAGTACACAGTGGTATAAGTTTTTTCNTGAGTAAAACTCTAGAAATTTAATTTCTCTTCTTGAGTGCAATAGCACACAATTGATCTTTCTTCACCATATTTAAACAAACTTTTTGGTCCATATTGAGGGTACCATACCACCTTAAACTCCTACGTTTTTCCAGAGAAAGTAAAGGCATGTAACCAACCACTTTTTCTAATCATTATCTCTGTTCAGATGATGGAAGAAACGCAAAGAACTTGAACTCATCGACTTCTCATCACCGAGCGAAAGACGCCCCTGGCGCGAAGAAGGAGGCACCCCGCCCTGCCAAAATCGAGTCATCTCTGCCAAAAGTACTCGTGGCTTCTACCGCCAGCGTGTTCTTTGTTGCTTCCTTGATCGTTCTCTTACTTGTAGTCATTAGAAGTTCTTCTGGGCCCAGTGAAGAGACGAACGAGGATGCGAGCAGATCCCAGCGCTCTGAAGTGGTGACAGAAGTCACGATGATGGAGCTTAAAGATGAGATAAACAACAGTAGCACTCTGAGCGATGGTAACGTTCACACATAGATATCACAAACACTTGTGAATCCATCCTGACCAGCTAAGATGTCGATTTTTTTTGTACGTCTTCCATTAAGCTAAACAGACGCTTTTTATACCGAAAGCAACTTTGCGCTAACCTCTTCATCTCAGACTGAGAGTCTTTAACAGCCGTTGTTTGGTTAGACTTCGAGTAGTCCCTCTTTCTCTTAGACCGTCGAGTGAGATCGTGAAGAGACCGCGAGGAAAAAAAAAAAATGAAATCCTGGGGGCGAGAAGCGCGCCCTTAGTCAGTTTCGCGTGGCCATTTTTTTCTCGCGGTTTTCTTTCGCGTCACAAACGACGAACTTAACGGAAGAGGAACTTCTCGTAGTCTATTGTTTGGTAAGTCCGCGAGGAATCGAATAATGCGGTTCATTCTAGTCGCTAGGCGCTTGCTTATTCTTGAAGTACCCGTGAGAATATTTGGGAACGGGTTGCGTGTTGGCGAATCCCTGGGTACTAGTCGCTGATCTATGAGAGCTAAGACGCTTTGGGAAGGTGAAGGGTCTAAGTTTTTCTATCTTTCTTTATACCACGATCAAAGATTGTCTTCTTTTGAGTATAAACGGGTTTTTTTTATTTCCATAATGAATCGTAATTTATTGAACTATTATCCTGATTATTTATATAAACTGCTACAAGTCTATAATATAATTTATTTAACGTTGTAAAAAAAGAGTAAAAAATACGAGGAATAAAAAGTGTAATTCAGATGTAATACGGTGCTCCGGATTTCCAGCGGAAAATATTTTATGCGAAAACTATGAAAAACCTTGAAAATAAAATAAAATACAGTTGTGTGACCAATAATTTCTTTGTAGCAACAAGATTTCCTTGTAATTTGTATCGAGGTTCAATTCATTATAATATATAAAAGGTCCTCGCCTTTTTCTCTACTCATTGTTCTTCGAGCTAATACCGTTCTTCGTACTTCTCTCCAAACTTCATCTAGTCAGAAGGTACAGTTAGAAAGCTAAATTAAATACCTGAAAATGAAGCGAACAACGCATGCGCAATTATGATGAGACGGATCAACCATTTACATCAGTTCGCATGACGGAGCGCTCTCACCCCAATTTCCTGGCGCGCTAAGTAGAGAATGCAAATCCGGAAGACAGGAATGCTTTACATGCTGTCAATCGGAGGCCGAAACTCAAGGTAAAATGTTCGTTGGTTTAAGGCTTAGCGTATTTAATTAGGACATAAATTTTAGTTAATTCCCATCGAAGGGCATGCAACAGTTTAACAACATATATTTTTAAGGTTGTGTTAGGAAGTGGGATGTCATATCACGACTCTTTTTTTTAGAAATATTAGTCTGTAATGGTAGTAGCTCACCTAAATAGTTAGAATGTATTTTACTTCCTCTCCAAAAATGAACAAGGAAACTAGACATAAATTTTGACAAATTTCTCAGTGGTTGATCGTCATTTGTGGCTCTCGACTAGGATTGGGATACCAGGCATCGCTTTCTCGAAATAAATGCTTATTTGTGATTTCGTGTTTTGATGCATAATGCAAGTCACAACTCTACTATTATGATGAGACTCTACAGTTATGACAGGGCGGAAAAAGGCACGTATAAGCGCCCTGGTTATGATGAGACGGGTCAACATTTACATCAGCGCGCATGACGGAGCGCTCACACCGCAATATCCTGGCGCGCTAAGTAGAGTTAAAATCCGCCCAAGTTTCCGTGCCCCATACCTTTGACCAAATGAAATTCTTAAACAAGGTGTAGAGCCCGAGAAAAGAAAATCCAGCAAATCCTACGGCACGTATATACCTCGTTTAATCTTTCTAGTTCAATTGTTATTCAATTGTTTGTTAATTATACATTTGTTGGGCCCATCGAGGCAGCATCTGACTCATTTGGGTAAAATAGTTATTTCTGTTGTAACCATTAGTTTGTTATCACGCAACGCTTCTTGAGTGACATTGCGTGATGAACCAAATGATGGAAAATTGAGATAAGGGTCAAGAATGTTTTATCACGACCTCGACGATATGAAAGAAGATATGTGTAAAGACGTATCTAACGGTTGTAATGTCTCGACTAAGACTAATAAATTGTGATTGGTTAAATAGCAAAAGGGGGGCTCCCCGATTATTAAATCATAGTAAATAAATACTTTACAACATCTCGCTATACTTAGACGAAGTCCACAGTTCACTGATAGCAAAACTGCTTCACTTGCGAAACGAATAAGGAAATGTTGTATTGTTGTGAGAGAATGAATTTCTCATTAGGGTCGCTCGGTTTCTTTGCCTTTGTTTTCTTGTCATTTATTCAAGGAGGAAATCTGCGGCCTCCTCTATGCAAAGATGGCAAGTTCTATGAAGACAGCGTGTTTGACTATTTTAACTGCTCGCTTTGTCTTGAGCAACCCCACTACAGCAACTGTAATTTCTGTTGTTCGGGTAAGTAGTTTTTAATTTTTATGAAATACTAGAGTTTCCTCTTCAATTTAAGAGAGTTTCATCTGTCCCAAGAGAACAAATCGCAAAATTCCTTTTGCGTTTTTGCAAGTCAGCACCTCCGCGTTAAATCTTAATTAAGTTTTTTATCACAGGTTTTTCTTCAACCGAGAGCGACAGAGATCAGCTACGACTTGATAGAACTTTAAGGTGATTCGCATTTTTCTATGGTGCGGCAACTTTTTCGACAAAAAATTAAGATCTCAATAAAATCCTACCAGGAATTCGGTGGGAAATACACCTCTTTTGCTTGAACTCCCATGCAGCTTATGCTTGGTAAGCACTTCTAAAAATGCCCTATGAGTTAATACACCCATATATCTATGATGCAATGACCTCTGCATTAGCTTGAATTGCAACATCATGAATAGAGATCGATTTCGGCGCGCGCTCTCTATAGCTGCGTAGTTGCGGCGTCGTTCTAGCTTTGAAAAAAACAAAATTTAACGGGGAAGTTTTATACTTCGATTTGAANTGAGCATGCGCATTCAAGTTAACCTGAACTCTTCTTTTCGCCCGCCCCGGTTCAGCCCCTAAATGGGGCCGGAAGAAAGGAGAGCACGGTTCAGGAACTGGACTAACAAGGGTTGCGATTTTACTCCAAGTGGCACTCCATAGCACTGGTCTTCGCGCGCGCGCGAGCCCAGTATCGTGATTATTTCTTATTTCTTATTTTCACTTTTCAGACGAAAAGTTCGATTTATTTGTCTTTATCTTCTTTTTAAGATGTGATTTTGGTGATGCATTACAGGATATTAGGCTAAAGGTCGAGGCCTAGTAAAATAAACGATTCTCGTACAAATATTGATAGGAATAACTATCTTTTTCCACAGCAACGGTAAATTCAACAACTCCCTTGTCTGCTAAGACGGCCAAACCCACGCTTTTGAAAAACAGTCCGCCACCAAGTACCACAGGGTCAGACATCGTTGGAAGCTTTCCAAATCAAGTGGCTACAGAGATGAAAATCTTCATTATCTTCAGCTTCATTTTAGTCGGATTCGTGACAGTGCTTGCAATAGCTGCCTCGTTGGCGTTTGCAATCAAGTGCTACAGGAAAAAGAAGAAGTGGAAACTAAGGTCGTCAAGTGAGTAGGATACTTTCTATCGACCTTTTTGGCAGGCCTATTAAGCGATACAACTGAAAAATTTTTTCTGGCTCACGATGCCTGAGAATTAACAAATTGACGTCAGTTCTTCATGCGTCTGTCCTGTTATTGATCATGAATTTCGTCATAACATTGATAGCCGAGTGGATCCGCAGACTACTTTGACAATGTTATGACGAAATTCATTGTCAATAACAGGACAGACGCATTAAAAACTGACATCAGTTTGTTTTTTACGATAACAAATTGTCAAATTGTCCGCCCTCGCTATTTGACGCATCGCATAAATTATAAATTGACGTGTCTGTCCGCTTATACACATTAAAAATTAGCCAATGAGCGCGCGAGAATTTCTGCAGTTATCGTAAAAACAGAATTTGACAGAATTAAAGTGCACCTAACCCCCAAATTTTTTTTCGCTAAAACGAATCTAGACTTTATTTGAAGCATTTGGGCGAAGAAATTTTTGAATTTGGTTGAAT